GGTTAAGAGAATGAGCTCCACCGCGAAAGAAGTTATTCGCAAATACATGAAAAAAGTCAAACCTTTATACGACAAGTTATCTCAGAAACAGAGTTCTTCTTCCACTTTGAAAACAGAGTCATCATTATCTCTCAAAGACTCCGGCAACATCCCTGCAACCGCCGTGGCTTCCGCCTCGACCGCAGTTTCCGGCGGAAGCAACGGTCTATCGATCTCTTTCTCCGGTAACCTAATGAGGTACACCAAACGAGGACGATGCGCAGCGAGCTGTCCGTCGTCTATGAGGTCATCTCCGAGTCATTCCGGTGTACTGACACGTGGTGGCTTCCCGGCGGGGACGGCAGGAGCAAGTAGCAGCAACAGTAACAGTATGTCTTCTTCAATGGAAGAGTTACAGTGTGCTATTCAAGGAGCTATTGCTCATTGCAAGAACTCAATGTTGCAGAAGAACTTGGTTAGTAGTCTCGAGATCTAGTAATATATCTATCTTCATATATGTTTTTTTTATGTTGTCTTTGTAGTAACTTGATCTACTCTTTGTCTTAGAAATTTGCCAGTGTGATTCAAAACATTCGATCTAGTTAACGATGTTATTTGTTTATTTAATACGGATGTTATTGAACCAGAACAACTCTATTTGATTAACTTAACTCGGAAGAAGACATTGTAGTAGGTGGATCGTTTAAAGATTAATCTTGATTTTAATTCCTTTTCAAATTATAGTGTTATATTATGTACCTTAATTATTTTATCCAATTTTAATGGATCAAAAGATTCAAAACTCATGCTAACTTCGAACCTCCATGTATGACGTAATAATCACTGAAACCGATATATATATTATCGATCAACATAAAGAAACCAACGTATAGTTATATTTTATTTTATTTTAAAGGGTATATTTTTTCTTTTCTTGTTGATATTATATAAAATTCGGGGAAGATACAAAGCCGGAGTTTTTTTTTTCTTTTGTCGGATACAAAGCCGGAGTTTTATACAAAGGTTATTTAAAAAGGAATCCACATCATTTTCCAAACCAATTTTCACGTTAGGTTACAAACTATTTGCATCCAACGAACC